ATAAAAAAAATTAGATATTGAAAAGTTTATTGGAAGTTCTGAAGCTAGTTATTATAGGAAACATTGTTTGTGACATACCAGAAACATGAAATTTTGAAGTTCAATTTAATTTTTTAAATATTCAAAATAGTCGATGCTAATACTAGGTTATTTTAAAATGCTAACAGCAATTAATTTTTTTTTTTAAAAAAAAGTTCTTTTAGTAGTTTAGTATTAGATCTTGGAGCAAGTGACTGTAAATTGTCATATTTCGTGAGAATCACCCAAATATATATATATATATATATATTAAAAAAAAAATAAATGCTAAATCAGTCAGTCAGTGTGTTCTAAAAAAATATTAGTTTATTATTTTATTTTTGGGTGTAAAATGTTACTTAATTTAAAGGATATGTGAATTTATTTATTTATTAATTTTTTACTATTACGCTATGCCGCAATTACCAAAAGTCCTAGGCTTTTTGAATTTCTAAGGTCAGCTGTATCACCAATTTTACTTGCACAATCTGCTTAAACTAACAAAAATTGATGCTAGGGTATTCAACTTACACATTCATGATCTTTCAATCGTATTTGAAATGTTTTGTGAAACTCCTTTTTGTTGTCTGAAAAAGCTGCCATGTATAGCACTAAATGAAATGCTGATAATGTCAAACTTAACAAGACCACAATAGAAACTTTTTCTATGATAAAAATATCCTTTGGTTATGATTTATTTCAGAACACAAAGTTACAGATGACATAATGTAGTTTTTGAAGACCATGAATAGAGTAGCAATAAAGACCTGACTAGAAAGCCATTAAAAATCACTACCGTTAAAAATGTGACGTAATTTAACTCTTGACTCTTGTTTGATGGACTGTCTGATTAAATCGATTAATAGTTAATGTTTCAACATTTTTATTAAAAAATCACATTAATGTAACATCACATTAAAACATTAAAAAAATTTTTAGCATTATTATTATTCCAAAAATCACAGATGGGGAGAAAAAATTTTAAAGCCAAAAATAAGAAAAAAAAATTTAAACTGCATACATATATGAGTAAAATTCTGCTAATTGTCCTTTTGCAGTAAGAAAGTTCCTGGTCTATAAACATTTAAAGCTCTTGTTGTTATATTTATAATTAAAAAAAAAAGATAATCTTATATAAGTGATAGAAAAGAAGTTCACGAAACTTGGATAAATACAGTAGAAATTCATTATAGTTACAATTCACAATAGCAGATGGAATTGTTGCTATATAAGCAAAAGCACATATTTAATGTTATAATAGTAAGTCGGTATTCCAATTACTCAGTTGGTTAATGCATCTCTCCTACCACTAGTTGGAGAGCTGGGGGTGCTGGGTTCAATTCTGAAAACCGACAAAACAACCGAAGTGTATATGCAACGTGGTGGACTTGAAATTTGTCTTGGCTAAAAATTATCTGTTAGTTGTGGTGTGAAAGTTTGGATAGAGGAGTACCAGCTCAGGTGCTGTCCACGTCGTCTGACCAGGATTAAAATTATGTGGTATTCCTACCATGGCTATTAAATAATAGAGCTCTTAAAATGGGGTTAGGTGCTTGGACATGGTTGGGTCATGTATATTATTATATAGTTTGTCTAAAGTAAGAACTCCCCAAGCCATTCGTCTGGAACCCTGGCCGTGACTATGGTAACGAGGTATAAGTATTTCAAGTAAGAGTGTGGGGTCACTGTTTAGGACAGGTTTTGGCTCAGGTTGGCGATAGAAAGATAATCTTTTTCATCGGTCTATTGTGTTAGCCCTTGGGTGACGAGAAATTAGCATTCACGTCTGAAATATCATTNAATAAATACAAGAAAACACGAAGAAAGTTAAGAAAAACAATAAGTTTCATTTATTGCGCATAAGCTGCAAGTAAACAGAACTCCTTAGATAAGTTCAAAATGAAGATGAAACAAAGAAAAAGTATAGACAGATGAAAAAAGTGGGGGAATAATAATTTAAAAAAATAACAAATAAGTGATTAAAAAGAAAAAAGGATGAAAATGTATTTAAAAAAACCGGGGAAAAAAAGATATAATCTTTTCATCAGCACACACGATTATATCCGCAAAAAAGAGTGCTTTCTGATATTGTATCAATATAGCCAAAGCAAAATATATTAATACAATAGTGTGAGGAGCACTCAAAAAAATTTTTTGCAAAAATTACAACAAATTAAATAGAACACAATATGTAAAAATAACCCGTAAAAACAGAAAATAAAATAAAATTAAGAGAAGAAACAGTATAGCACATAAACTATAAAGCGAGTAGCGAAATCAGATGTACTTACATGAACAAGAAATTTTTCAATAATGATTTAAAAATGTTTTCGCAACAAGATTACCAGATTACAAAATCATCTTTTTTTTTTTTTTTTAATCAGTTGCTTGTTATTTTTTAATTATTATTCCCCCCCCCTTTTTTTTTTCATTTGTCTATAATTTTTCTTTGTTTTATCTTCATTTTGGAGTTATATATATATATATATATACACACAGTGCTCAGTGAATTCGAACTTGCAATTTTAACTTCATGATCCAAATTGTTTTAGAATTAATATAAAATTTTAAAAAATAAATTGTTTACCTGTAAATTATTTATCTCTCATTGAACGGGTTTTTTTTTTTTTAATTCCGTTCGGTGTGATATTTGAAACCAAGAATTTTCCCCATTGGTCATCAATAAGACCATATATTTCTTCTGCGGGTGGGTGAGTTAGGGATGATTTGGTAGCAGTTTTCACCAAAGAAGTGTTAAAAGCTCACTTGAAATAGAAATTTTTTTTGGAATTCAGACACAAAAAAAAATTATCTTTTTTTTCAAATTGTAAATTTAACTACGCAGATATTGAGTGAAAAATTGCAATATTAGAAAGGGCCTTTCATTTATAAAATGTGACCCCCAATCAAACAATATATAAGGTTCCCCGGTTCTGTGGTTCCTGTATCTAGTGCTCGCCGTAACATTTTTTAGAATGTTATCAGGGGCGCCGCGAACTTAAATTTTAGAGATGGAAGAAATTCCCCTTTTCCCGAATGAAATTTCGAATTTGACCGAATCATAAACAAGTATGTAATTCAATGTTGCTATTTTCGCAATTTCCCCCCTCCGTCCGTTAAAATTGTGATGGAATCTCTTGTGTTTAATTCGTGGTTTGTGGAAATTGTGATGGAATTCTATAATTTTTTGAAGATGTTATGTACTATACCAACAATCTTACCAAAAAATTTACATTTTAATTTCAAAACCAAAAAATGCAGTAAATATTATATTTTATCTAAATTAAATTTGCACAAACATTGCATACGAGATAACATTGCACATAATTGCATACGAGAAAGAGAAGAATAAAGATAAAAAATTTTACATTATCTTTTAAAAGCTGCCTTTAGTATTAATGATCAAAATTTGACTACAATCAATTACTCTTTTGAGAATGCTGCTATAACAGAATAGAATTTTGTTTAAAACAATTTTATTGCTTGTATTTCTATATCGCTTATTATATTATCTGTTATGAAATAAATAGGTTTAAAAAAAAAGTAGGTGCAATATGTAAACAATTTTAAAAAAAGAAAATTTTAAAACAATTAATCAGGTACTGTAGTCAAGTTTCTAGTATTGCTGAATTAGCCGTAAAAAAAAACTATATTATTCGTTTAGTAATAAATACAATGCTAGTATATAAATACTCAAAAGCTCGTGCTTAAAAATGCTAAAACAAAATTACTTCCGATATCTTGAAAACTTAAAAGAAACCACCAAACTTTAAATACATCTGTTTTCATAATACTTAAACATTACTATAAAAATTTTCTAACATTATATCTTATTTAAATTTTATTAATGAACATATCATATCTGCCAAACCCCCTTTTCTAAGATTCTGAAGATTTATTACGAATTTGCAGAATAAATTACACTCTGCAGTAGTTACGAATGAAAAAAAATCTCGACAAACATAATTTCATAACTTAATTATTTTATTTTGAAACAAAACACGACATAAAAATTAACTTCACTCAATTATAAAAGCAATTTATTCTTACCGTCATTGTTTAAATAAACATATCGATAATCTTTTGGTAAAATACAAGTTAGGAACACATATTTGTCATAAATAAAATAATTTGTATTTTTTATTCCAAAAAACAGGAGTCGTACTATGTGCTAAAATTTTATTTAATATTATTTTTAAATAAAAAATGAATTCCAAAACTTTACAGTCATTTCATGTTGTTTAGAGTTTTTTTTTTCCCTTCAATTGCAATTTTTTGCTTACGTACAGCTATATTTCACAGCAAGAAACTGAGGAATCTTTGCTTTTTTGAAAGGTTTTATAAAATGGTCAGCAAGAGCTAACAATGTGTATACCACATGAACACACACACAGCGGAGATGAATCACACAGGTACGCGTCTCTCCCCAAACTTCCCAAAACAACAAACAAGAGGACTTTACAGCCATTTCATACAGTTTTTTTCCTTTAAAGGCAAGTTTTTGTTTACTTGCAACTATATTTCCGAGCGATAAACCTGAGAATCTTTAAATGCTCTTTTGAAAGATTTTATAAAATGATCAGCAACAGTTAATAATGCGTATATGACACAGATACACACAGTAGGGTCAAATCGAATAATTTTATTTTCAATAATTGAAGTAAATTAGATAATTTCTGAGCTCAAATCTGCCGTATTTCATAAAAAATTGATGTTATTAAGTAATTCTGGTGGGTTCGAAGTGAAAATTTATTTTAGTTATTTAGAGATACGTTGTTAAAAAAGGTGGCATGGTTGCTAAATTTTGAATAATTCCCTTTTTTTGGCAGTCCTGATTTGGCCTCTTTCTATTTGTTTATTACTGTTTGTTCTTGTTGCAAGCTGTGCAGCATCTCTCGTTATTGTTAGCACCTTTAGCATTGTAAATACAAGTACCACGTTTGCTAGAATCTCAAAACACAACGATCACGTTGTGAGGCAAATGGCTTTAAAATACACCAGAAACAGTAACCCGGAAGTATAGGCGGTATGGAGCTTGCAGCGTTCTCTAGTGTAGACGTCTCGGCTGCTGAGCCAGGAGCTTTAGTGCAACGTAAAGTACCTACCTGCCTATTAAGTTATGAATCTGAATCTGGCAAACTGTATTAGTGGGCGATTTATCAGTGTATTTCATCATGAATTTTGAATTTGTGTAAAGTATGTTTAGTTGGTTTTTGTATTTAATGTAAATTAGTTCTGCTGAAACGTTCCATTTGTAATAATAATTTTTATTTATTTGTTTCTAAGAATGTATTTCACAGAAATGTATAAATATTTTTGCGCTATGTTTCTATAAAATAATAAAAACATATAGACGGCAGATCTTTTTTGTGGGGATAATTTTGTAATGAAGCGCAGTTTTATTTATTTAACTTCGATATGAACGCCGTTATTGATGCGTCAGTTTCAGTTATTATTTAAATGATAAAAATAATTTAAAATTGAACCGCGTAAAAATGCTGAATGAAAGCGTAATTTTTTTGAATAATCATTTCGGCTAAAAGTTACGGACAAGCTAATCTTGTATTGATATAGCGAAATTTAAATTTCATAGCATTTTTATTCTCTAATTTGTAGGATTAACATGATATGTTTGTAATGTGAAACTACCTTCTTATATTTTAGTTAGGTACAGCTAAAGATATTTATCCTCAACTCTTAGTAAATTTAAATATTAAATTGTCACTTTGAAGAAATATATCCTCTTTTTCACTGCTGTATTTTTTCAGATTGCTATTAATTTTGTTTCAATTTTTTTACTTGGTCTACAGATGTAGCAAGTTAACTCCGATTTTCATAAATAGTATCTTCACTTTTCATTTATTCCTATAGTAACCCTCAGTGGTCTGATTCTAAGGCAGGGCGCTCAGTAAATTACCAAAGTCAAGCATTTCTGGCAGTGGTGTTTATCCAGGTAGATGTCCACTTTAGTCAGCCTGTGAAAGAATTGAGGGTGTATGGTATCAATTCCTGGTTAAATTGTTCTACTTGTCATCAAGACTGATTTCTGCCTATTTCTAAACCATAAAGCAATTTAGATGAAATATACAAATTATATTTTAAAATGTAAAATGAACTGCATTATGTTTTTTTAGTTATCATAGGACAAATGGTGTACTTAAGAAAATATATCTTGAAATTAAAATGATAACAATTTGTTTTCTAGTTAATTGTAATTACTGTCCTTCGTTGTAATTACTATCCTAGTATACAAAAGCCCATTTCAAAATATAAAACAATAATGATTGTGCATTTGCTTACAAAATGTCTTACTTAAGGCAATTTAAAAAATATAAGTGATACCAAGATGTTTTTACAAAGAAAAAATTTTCTATATTTCTTAAAAGTTCTAGATGTAATCTCTTTTTTAAAAGAATATTAAATCAGGTCTCCCGCAGATTATGAAAAACCTGGAATTGTCGTGGTATGATATGTTAACTCTAAACAGCAAAGAATAATTGGGAAAGATGCTTTTTTTTTTTTTTTTTTAAATCTGGAAAATTTCTATATCATACCTGGAAAATAACCAGTCTTAGAATTGTCAGTAACAGTTATCAGTTATTGAAATTAGAGTTAAGTAATTCTAGCATTTATTATTATTTATAAAATTCTTCTTTTTAGTGAAACTTTTCCAGATTTCCAATCTCATTCTATTATATGTTTTTGCTTCCAAAATCTAATATTTGATATAACAAATTAAAAATTCAAAGTCATCTGATGAAAAACTGGATGGTATAGATAAAATATCGTATGGATTTACATTGAAATTTACCTGATATACCTGGAAAAGTCGCGAAATCTTTTTTTCTGAAATTGCATGGGAACCCTGTTAAACTTTCAACTAAATACTATTTAAAATGTTCATTTATTTATTAATTATCGATAAATAGACGGAAAAAAAATTTATTTGTTCGTTTTAAAACATCTAAGTAAAGGGACAGTAAGTATATTTTTCCAATAAATTACAATTAAAAACTGTTACTGAATTCTTATTTTTAAAGTTTTTTCATTGCTGGTCACTTAAATGCATTAATGTAAAAATGATCAACATGAAGTTAGTTATGTGGTGAATTTTTCGTAATTAGCCTAGGCAAAAGTTAACGTTATGAGAAAATCACCTATATACTTTAGTGAAATTAAATGCACATGTCTTTTTGTTGCGCATGGTATGCTCATTTGTATTTTTCAGTGTATGAATTCTTTATGTGCCTTACAATGTACGAAAGATTATCAATTTTTATTTTAAATATAAATTTTTCTTTTAAAATGTATGAAAAAGATAATTTAAGATTTCAATGAACATGCAGAAATGTTCATTAAAATTATGTACCATGATCACATCAAAAACAACCAATATCTACACTATGCATTCAGATTTTGTTTAATATGTTTAATATTATAATATATATTATATGTTTATGTTTTGTATTTGTCATAATGTAAATAATTTAAGATTTCAATGAATGTATATAAAGTTCATTAAAATTAAAAATTATGTACAAATTATTGCATGAACCAATAACTACAATATGCATTCACATTTTATTACTAAATGATTATATGTTTAATCTTTCTTTTGTAAATAACAAAACTTTTACCAACTAAAATATTAGCCAACAAAAATAAGATTCAGAAATATAAAATAAATTTTTGTATTGGTCATAATATAAAATATAAACTTAATCTCAAGTGTCATGAATATTTCATTAATCTAAAAATCAGAAAGTCTCTTTTTATTGAAATATCTAATCGTAACAAACTTTTTGTGCATTTTAGTCCCTAAAGAATTTAACAGTTTGAACTGATCTTCTAATCTAAAATCAGAAAATATTCTTTCTAGTCTAGCTGCAAAAAAGAAGCAGTGAATAATTGAGTAATTGGACTAGATGTTTTGGCTTTCCACTGATATTTTAAATTAATGTAATCAGGGTTGAGGTTTTGGACAGGACACCTGGGTTTTACTGTCATAAAGTGTCCACAACCTTGAACATTGGTAAAAGGTAAAAATTCTATATGTGTAACCATTGTACACATAATAATTACATATATTAATAAATATTTGATACGTTTTTATACAATTTGCTTTTATTAAAGGAAAATAATATGATATAATAGAAAAACATTTAAAATTGACTGCAATTGTCCATTCATTGAACAAAAAAAAGTGAATACCTTATCCTTTAAATATGAATAAATATGCTTTGAATACTGATAAATTATGTTTTTGCATAAGGTTCAATATTGCAATATTAAAAATAAACTTTTTTAATAAAACCAAAACTTGTCTTCATTTTGTTTCTAGTTAAAAAATTAACATTTTATTTTTTGCAATATTTTTTTTAAAATTATGACATAATTTCAGGGCCAGACTTAGCGTATTTGGTCCCAGGACAAAAACTTCTTTGGGGACCCCCTCTGCTTCTCTACTTCAGTGATGAAGAAATAAACTTTATGGAGATACTTAAATTTTTCACCTCATTATAGATAACAAGAAATTTGACTCGAACCTAAAATAAGTATAAGTCCCTCCCCCTCCAATGGTCAAACAAAATATCGTTCTGTCCATTTTATTGATTTTCTATCAATTCTATGTCTATCATGCCGAATGTAGTTTTCTGATTGTTAACTTGGTCGTCTAGCTGCGGAAAATTCATATCCTTGCTGACATTAGAGCAGAATTCGGCTGAATTTTCGCAATAACGATGACTCAATTAAGCCAATCAGAAGCCTGTATTTTTGTAAACATATGGCAAAATGCGATCTGTAAAAATACAGGTTTTTGATTGGCCAAATTTGTCTTTCGTAATTGCAAAAATTTAGCTGAATTTGCTCTAGAAAGCCATGGATTTACGAAATATAGATTGTGTTCATACGATAGATTAATGAAGATGCTAACATAAAACTGACGAATTTTACACTGCACTGATATTTTGTTTAAAAAAAGTTAATTTAAGAAGGAAACTTAGAATAAACTTTCTATTCGATTTGGGGCCCCCCTCTGATGTGGGTGCCCGGGGCAACTGCCCCTTATGCCTCTGCCTTAGTGAGGCTTTGCATAATTTAAGTAAATAGGTTTTGGATAGTTTAAGGCATAGGGGTTTTAGATAGGACAGTTTAAACTGTGGATTAATCCATTCTGTCCTGAACCTTGCCAACTCTGAATGTTATGATATTTTGAAAATGCAATAAGTAGTTTTAATGGAATTATCGTGTTTTCTTGTTACTTGTATTATGAATTGCATAATTTGGAATATTTGCACAATTACTTTAACCTTTCACACCACTGACAGCTGTGTAGTGCCATCCAGAAGTCACCATTTTGAAATTTAAAGTTTTTGTATCTCAATATTTTATTACCACATTACTTTATGATTATTAGCTGATATAAAGTAATATTGCATCCTATGTTTAAAAAATGCACCAAGGTCAATTTTTACTTATTTCCAAACCAGAAGCAGTTAAGATGAAATATTCAAATTATTTTTTAAAATATAAAGCTGACAATATCTGTTATGCTATTTTTTTTCAATTATTATAAAGCAAATGGTGTAGTTAAGAAGAACAATTTTTTTTTTTTGAAATTAAAGAAACAATGGTTCTTTTCCAACTTTTCTCATTACTGTTGCTCTTTGTAATTACTCACTTGGTATACAAAAGTATATTTTAAACTAACAAACAAGAGTTTTGGTTTTAAAGCATTATGTATTTGCTTGCAAAATGTGATCTTACTCAAGGGAATATAAAAATGTAAGAAATACAAGGATGATTTTAGGATGAAAAAGTAAAATTCACTTAAAATTTTTTAATATTTCTTCAAAATTCTATATATAATAAATTTTTTTTAAAAAAATTAAATTTTCATTTAAATAGTGTTTAAAATGTTTTCTTTCATTTACTTGTTAATTATTGATGCTTAAAAAAAATAAAATGTTTCCTTCAAATTTTCAAAGCTTTTAAGTTATTTGACAGTAGTTACATTTTCCATGCTATTTCAATTTAAAACTCAGTAAATTTATTTTTTAAGTTTTTTCATTTCTCGTCATTGATTTATATATTTGAATGTAGGGTCAAAATGTAAAATTCATCCACATTAAAATAGTTTTGGGATGAAGTTTTCCTAACTGGCTTAGGCAAAAGCTAATGTTTTAAGAAAATCACCCTTATTCAAAGCTCTTTTTAGTTCATTTTAATAAAAATAAGTGTTTTTGAGTCTTCATTTTAGTAATAAAGAGCCATTTAAATCTTATTAAATTTAAAGTATTTTAATACTTCAAATAATTTTTAAAAATAGCTTAATGATTTAATTTTATTTTTAGAAGTAGGGTTGTTATTTTTCTAGACTTGAGAAACTACAGGTTCTAAGGACCCAAGACTTCCGAATTTCAGCAGAACGTTTTAAATTTTCTCAAATGACAAAAAAAAAAAAATCACTTCAAGTGATGTTTCAAAAATTTGGAAAAGAAATAAAAAACTTAAGAAAAAGAGAGAGAAAGGTAGTCTCCAAGATGGAAAAAATTCAAAGTGATGTATGATATTTTGAAGAGGATCAATTCTCTACCACCTCTTTATCCATCTATCAATATTCTCAGCTATAAGGATTTCATTAATTGAAAGACAAAACAAAGAACTTCAAAAAAGAAAAGAAATTTGAAATATTAGTTTTTAATTAAAATTTATCAAACTTTTGCCTCAAGGAAAAACAGCCGTGTTATTTAGTAATCTGAATCCTTTTCTCTTTTTAATTTAAAAAAAAAAATTCTTTTTAATGTTTAGATTAATTTTGCCTGCATAAAGATGGAAAATTAAGCTTCCAAGAGGGTATGTCACTCTTCTTTTTGGCCTATTTGACGTGTTACAACATGTAAGCAAAACAGCTGGTGGTTTAAAAAATTTAATTTGAATAATGGTTTGAACTTTAATTGATCTTAATTAAAATTAAAACACTTAATGTTGTGAAAAATGTCTAATAACTTTCATAATTGAAATCCTTAACTATCAGAAAAATAGGATAAGGTATAAAAATTTATTTATTCATATTATTTGATACAAATATTTATCAGAAAGAATTTATTTAACAAGTCAATTACTGGTTTAAAATGTCTTAAGAAATAGTATTAAGATTTTATTTAAAATTTTATCCATCTCTTAATATGTATGGGCAATAAATTTTAGTTGAACACAATTTTTAAATGAAATAATAGCATAAAGATTTATTTTAAAATATATTTTTGAATATTCATGTTTTAAAATTTTTTCACACTTTATTAGTATTATTATGATATGTTAAAATTTTGGTCAAAAAATTGAACAATTAAGTTTAAATTGGAATTATTTTAAATCTGCATAAAACTAATTTACAATAAAAGATAACCTCAAATTTTATTGTACAATTTAAAAAAAATGTTGGCAAAACATAAATTTCAAGCTATGTTTAGGCCTTGCAACTTTGGATATGAAGGGAACCGTAATAATATTTATTTCATTAGATATTTTTATTTATTACTATAAGTAATTTATTACAACACCTTGTGTTTCGGAATTACTCTGTGTTTGCCATGTATTTCACTTTTTCATTTGACAGAATAAAGTTATAAAAAAATAGTGCTGAATATTTAACTTATTTATATCTTCAACAAATTAAAAATTGAAATTCTTTTATTAAAAAAAATTCTTATATTAAAATCGAAATATTCTTGAGATATTTTATTACAATGCCCTCATTATATTTCACCTTTTAAATTTTATGTAAAATATTTGAAAGGTAAATAAAATTTAAATTATTAATCATTAAATTTTAATTAATTGAATAAATGTATTTAATTAGTGGTAAAAGAGTACTTGAACACATAAAAGTAAAAAACAAATAATTACTTATACAATGATCAGAATTAATCCCAAAACTGGTTTTTTCTTTTTTTTTTAACAATCATATAAGATTTGAATTTACAATATTTTAATTATGTCTTGATTTAGGAAAGTGATTTACTTATATGGTTTACCAATTGTATTGCATAACTATTAAAAAAATACTCGTACGTATATATGTAATTAAATTGTTAACAGGTTTTTAAAAACTTATTTGTAGACCATGGGGGAAAAATGGTTTATGTCAATAAAAGTTGATGCTAAAAAAAGAAAAAAGTGATTAATGCAGAGAAAAGAAGGGTTTTTCCACAGTGCGACCCATCTTCACTGTGTAGTAACTCTCGGGGATAATCGATTTTACATGTTATTAATTTGTCAAAACTTAGTATTTCTCAAAATGCAAAAGATGGCAATCCAATAGTCATTTTTTTGTTGTTAAAAATGAACATAAACCCTTCTTCCTTTATATTCATATGTTTTTGTTCTATAAGAAAGACAATCAACTTTCTATAAAATTTTGCTTTTTGAAAATAAGATATTGCACAGGTAAAGAACCTTTTACTTGTATTTTAATTCTTCTAATTTCTAATGAAAAAAAAACTAACAAAAATAAAAATCTCAATATACTTTGATGAGGAAAAAAAAAACTAATAAGTAGTCTTGAGTAAATTAGTTCTAAACAAAACAGGCTTAGGAATAGCAATTTAACCCAGTGATGGTATTAAATACTATATATTATAAATAATAAGAAAAACTTACCTTTTATGATTTGGGGAGGATATTTCAATGTAGGTACCTGTCCATACTGCTAAAAATGTTTAAGTAAATATTTTATCTCTTAACTACCAGCACATTTATATAAATTGTCGTTATAAGCTTTTATAGACAAAATATGTTGTGGATCCCTTGATTTTACATTTTTGATATCCGAGGAATATTAGAAAGCTATAGATGTTTTATATCATTCTTTGATGCTAGACTGGATATTCTGCTAATATTTTTGAAATGTTTTTGGACATAAATTTTTGATATCATTTTGTGATATTTAAATGATATTTCTCTAATAATTGTAAAATCTGTCCTGTTTTAACTTTAACTGTATTTTTTTCACTTAATATGATGAAATGTAATGCTGTAAATATTGAAATAAAAATTTCTTTGTGAAAGAACTGAATAAATGATATTGTGGTAACAATCTAAAAAGAAAAAAAAGTCACAATTTATTTCTTGAAAATTCCAAATATCTATTTGATATCATTAAGATATTATATAATTGTTTGTGTTACTTGGGTCTTAAAATTTGTAAAAAAAAAAAAATAATAATAATAAAAATAAAATTTTCTTAAAAAACTAAGCATCTAGATAGTAGCACGTAAAAATGCATTTATCATTATCAGTGAATTCAGCAATAAGTTGATACTTTTAAACATTATTGCAACTAGTTCAGAGTAATTGTCCACTCATTCTTAGATTCAGGATATTGATACAAATGGCTGCTCCATTCAAATCTAAATACTGCTCCATTCATAGTGAACTTAATACTATATTTTTTGATCGCTAAACTATTTATATTCTTTTAATAATTAGTTAAATTACTAGAAATTAATATAAAAATGTATTGTTTCGAGTTGGATGTAGTGTATTATTCCTT